GGAACAATGGACTGACTGATAAACAACATTTCAAATACAGAAAGTCATGAAGCCAAGATTAGTAAGCATGTCATTTTAATTTGTTCTTCTCTTTTTTAGTTTTGTTAATGCACTCACCAGAGAGAGTCAGAGACAGAGAGAGAGAAAGCATGCCCCAGGGGGAATAACCACACCACAATCCCTTCTCTTCCAGTCTCCTCTCAGGATTTTGAGCATGCATGCACACGTGCCTGGTGTGTTTTTCAAGCCACTGGGTCTGGGACTCAAACCACAAAGTTGGCCATGTGGGATCCAGTACCTTAGCCACCACAGAGCCCATGGCTCTGCTATGATCCTTTAAAAATAATTGTTTATTTTTATTTATTCATTAATTTATTTTAATTTGACCAGAGAGAGATAGAGAGAGAAAGAGAATGTGAGAAGGCAAGCCACCAGGTCCAGGACAGAACCGTGGTCGGCCATGTGAGAATGTCCAGCATCTTAACCACCACACCACCTGCTGGTCCCCTCTGCTATGTTTTTAATACTGAGTACTACAGAAACATATCAATGAGAATAAAAATGGTTGGTTTTTACTTTCCCCCAAATGTTGCATTTTTTTGTAAAGAATTATTTATTTTTAATCCCACTTACTATTATTATATAATTTAGAATTATTGTATTTAACTTCATTTATTTATTTACTTATTTTTAAAATTTGACTGAAGAGGGACAGAGTGAGAGAGACTGAAAGAGAAAGAGAGGGAAAGTGAGAAAGCAAGCCACCAAGTCTGGGACTCGAACCACGGTCAGCCATGTGGGAGTCCAGTGCCCCTAACCACCATGCTACCTGCCAGCCCCTACTATTATTATTTTTAATTTGATCAGAGAGGGGCAGGGAGAGAGAGAAAGGGAAAGCAATAAAGTAAGCCATCAGATCCGGGACTCTATGTGGGAATCCAGTGTTTTTAACCATCATGCTACCTGCCGGCCCCCTGATTTTTGTGTTTTGATAAAGATGATTAGAGAGGTGATAATTACAAATATTCCTTAGGCAGGCAAGACACTCCCATGATTATAATGACTGACTCTCAGACTTTTTACTATGGGTCAGGTACTGTTTTAACCTTTTCAGTATAGTAACTTGTTTAATTTTTACAATCTACCTTCCCCCCCCCCCAAGGAATTATTTATTTAATTAAATTAATTTATTTATCATTTTAAAATTTGTCCAGAGAGAGACAAAGTCAGAAATCAAGCCTCCAGCTCCAAGACTTGAACTGCAGTTGACTACGTGGTAGTCCAGTGCCCTAATTATCATGCCACCTGCTGGCCCCTACAATCTACTTTCCAAGTAGCTACAATTATAATTATTTCTATTTTTTTACATTTGGGAAATCTGAGGCTTGGAAACCTTAAGTAATTCATATAAGATCACACAGCTTGTTTCAGTTGAAAGTGTATGAAGTTGAACTTGAACTCCAGGGTCTCCACTTCTATACTGGTGACAAATAAGACAAGAACTTTTTAAAAATTTTTTAAAGGTTTTTGCTATGTGCTGAAGATGGGAAGTGAGAAATCACCTACCCTAGGGAGGATGGCCACATCATAATCTTCTCTCTTCCATTCTCTCTCCAGATTTTGGGCAGGCATGCATATGCACCCAGTGTGACTTTCAGCTGCCACGTCCTGGACAACAATGGTTGGCTATGTGGGAATCTAGCACTTCCTCGGGACTCACTCGGCAGCACGTGTTTTTTTGAGTGGCGGGGGGGTAGGGGGAAGGGAGACTGTGTACTATAAATAAATATAAGAATAAACACACAAAGACATACAAATATAGAAAAGTGAGGATGGGGTTGGCCCAACTACTCAGATGGAGATAGCCACAACCTTAAACCAGTCTCAGGTTTATTCTTTTAAAGGGCAGAAAATAGGAGAAAAGGAAATAGGATGTAAAGCCAGTTGTTTTCAGATCGACTAAAGGTGCAAAAATGACTGGCACCATGTAGTTTTTTTGATCTTTTGGGGTGAATTTTTTTCTTTTTTTTGGAGAGGTTTTTGCTATAGGGCGTGTGCGCTCACCAGACAGACAGAGAGAGACATAGAGACAGAAAGCAAAAAATCACCCTCCGGGGGGGATGGACATGCCGAAATCCCTTCTCCTCTGTTCTCCTCTCAGGATCTTGGGCACGTACGCACACGCACCCCGCGTGAGTTTAAGCCACTGGGTCCGGGACTCGAACCACAGTCGACTACGTGGGAGTCCAGCAACATTGCCATTACGCTAACTGGTGGTCCCTTGGGGTGAATTTTGATAAACACATGTAGCTTCCTTAGACAGATACTGCTCTGCAGTTTCAGGCAGCTATCATATTTGCATGTAAATTCCTTTTATTGCCACACAAATAACAGCTCAAGGAACTGCTTTTTTGTATGTGTCTAAAGGTCACCATGTTTGATCAGATTGGCCACTCTCCACATTTAACCATCATATCACCTGCTGACCACAACAGGAACGTTTTTTGGGAAAATGCATAAATAATTTTTTAAAAGAATTATTTAATTTATTTATCATTATTATTATTATTGTTTAATTTGACCAGAGAGAGACAGGGAGAGAGGGGAGTAAGAAAGCAAGCACCAGGTGCAGGACCTGAGTCGCAGTTGGTCATATGGGAATCCTGCACCCCAAAAACTATGTCACCTGCCTGTCCCGAATGCCCGAATGTATAATTTTTTTTTTTGAGAGGTTTTTGCTATAGGGCGCGTGCACTCGTCAAACAGACAGAGACATAGAGACAGAAAGCGAGAAATCACTCTGCAGGGGGGATGGCCACCCTGCAATCCCTTCTCCTCCATTCTCCTCTTGGGATCTTGGGCATGCACACACATGCGCCTGGCGTCAGTTTTAAGCCACCGGGTCTGGGACGTGAACCGCGGTCGACTACATGGGAGTCCAGCAACATAGCCATTATGCTAACTGCTGGTCCCGCGTATAAATAATTTTTTAGAGAGATTTTTGTTATAGGACACTTGCCAGAGAGACAGAAAGTGAGAAATCACCCCCTAGGGGTGATCTCCTCTTGGGATCTTGAGTACGCACGCATGCATGCCCCTGTGTGTTTCAAGCGTCTGGGTCGGGGACTTGAACCATGTTCGGCCATGTGGGAGTCCAGTGACATAACCATTATGCCATCAGCTGACCCCGATGTATAAATAATTTTTAAAAGGTAATCTAAGGTATGTATCTAACCCAGGAGAACTTTAATAGGTGAGAGTTCCACCGGTTGTCCCAGCTCAGGTACAATATTATCAACTAATATGTAACTTTTTTTTTTTGGAGAGATTTTCACTATAGGGCGCGTGCGCTCGCCAGACAGACAGAGAGAGACATAGAGAGAGAAAGCGAGAAATCACCTCCCAGGGGGGATGGTCACGCCGCAATCCCTTCTCCTCCATTCTCCTCTCAGGATCTTGGGCAGGCACGTACACGCGCCCAGCATGAGTTTTAAGCCACTGGGTCCAGGACGCGAACCGCAGTCAACTACGTGGGAGTCCAGCAACATAGCCATTACATTAACTGCTGGTCCCAATATGTAACTTTTTAAAGAAGGAATTATTTTGGGATCAGCAGATGGCATAATGGTTACGCCGCTGGACTCCCACTTGACCGCAGTTCAAGTCCTGGACCCGCTGGCTTAAAATCACGCTGGGTGCATGTGCACGTGTGTCCAAGATCCCAAGAGGCTAATGGGGACGTGGAGAAGGGATTGTGGCATGGCCATTCCCCCTGGGGGGTGATTTCTCGCTCTCTGTCTTTCTTTTTTTTTTTTTCTTTAGAGGTTTTCGCTATAGGGCACATGTGCTCGCCAGACAGAGAGACAGAGAGACAGAAAGCGAGAATTCACCTCCTGGGGGGATGGTCACACCGCAATCCCTTCTCCTCCATTCTCCTCTTGGGATCTTGGGCACACACGCACATGCACTCGGTGTGAGTTTTAAGCCACCCAGTTCCAGGATGGGAACCGCGGTCGACTACATGGGAGCCCAGCGACATAGCCATTATGCTAACTGCTGGTCCCATCTCTGTCTTTCTGGTTAGTGCATGCGCCCTATAGCAAAAACCTCTCTTAAAAAAAAAAAAGGAATGATTTTATTTCCTATAGGGCATTTACTAGAGAGAGACAGAGAACAGAGAGAGGAAAAGTGAGAAAGCAAGCTGCTGGGTCTGCTGGGACTCAAACCACATTCACCCACCTGGGAGTTCAGCACTTTATCCACTATACCATCTGTGGATCCTAATATGTAACACTTTTTACCTCAAGGTAGAAGATATAAAGTAGAATTTATTGGCGGTTGGAATACTGATTTTTTAAAAATTTTATTCATTGTCACTATTTTATTTTGTTGTTCTGAAGTTGACGAGAGAGAGACAGGGAGACAGAAGGAAAGTGAGAAAAGCAAGCTGCCTAGTTCAGGACTCCATCTGCAGGGAGCCATGTGGGAGTCCTGTCTCCTTAACCACTACGTCACCTGTCAGGTTTCTGGAATACTGCTTTATGAGCAGAGAAATACTGTAATCATTTTCACTGTATCAGACAGAAGTAATAAAATGTTTTATGCATCAGTAGATATTTTTTGTTCTTTGCTGAGGTGTAAAAATGTTTTCAGAATTCTGAAGGAACCATAATCTACAGTTTAGGAAAACTTCGATTCACTGAAAAAAACAAAACCATAAAAGTTTTCAACAATTGCGCGCCCTTAGTAAAGATGGTTCCAAAGGACACACTACCGGTACTCAAGACGAAGACTTCACTTGAACTCCCGTTCAATATGAGAGGTAACGCATTGCCCTTAAGAAAGATGGAGGACCCCTGGCTTTTTTGCCCTTTTCCAAAATGGGCCCGTCAGCGAACGTAGTGGGCCCTTCCCTGGTGCCTCTTCCGGACTTGGCAGGGGGCGGGGTCCATTGAGTAAAGCCTTGCGTGCCCGCGCCCGTGACAGAGGCGCGCTTCAGAGCGCAGGCGCGGGGAGGGGTGGGGGGAGGAGGGAAAGCGGCGAGTAAGATGGAAGATGAGGAGGTCGCTGAGGGCTGGGAGGAGGCGGCAGACAGCGGGGTAAGCAGGGCCGGGCGGAACCTGGCGTGAGGGAACCCCCCGGGGAGCGGGTCTGGGGATGATTCTCCCCGAGGAAGGGCCCCTCACGCCGGGCCAGGGGTGGAGGAGAGGCCCCCGGTTCCTGAGCGCCGTGAAGGCCTCTTAAAGGGGCCGCGTTCCATTTTCCGTCCACCTTTGCCCGGTGCACTTCCCTCCACCCCCCATGTGCGCGTCACCGGGGCGCCCCACCCGCCACCCAAGGCCTCTTTTTCCTGGCTCCCGCGCCCGCTCTCTCGCCCTGGGCCCCTTTGACCCTTCTTTCCTCCTCACCCCCCACACCCGAGGCACCATTTTAAAGTTCATGTGCTCTTACGAACTGGGACACATCGTGGGGAGCGGTGTGGAGGTTGTGCGGACCGGGGCTGCATTTCCGCTCCAGAGAAGCGCAGGAGGAGGCAGCTGAGGGCAGGGGGATGAACGAAGTATTTTTTGGGGAGCCACTAAACTCCCTGCTGAAATCCCCCACCACTTTGCTCCTCGCGCCACGGTGGGCGAGTCTGGGTTTTTTCCTCTTTCAGTTTTACTCTTGAGACCGTGGCTGGCGGGTCTCCTGGGGACCCCGCCGCAGCAACCGAAAGCTCCGTGGGCAGCCCCCCTCCCCAGGGACCCC